TTCCCCTTCTCCAGGTCCTTATGCCAGAAAGTGGTAACTGGCATAGACTTTGACTCATACAGGACGACCTCCCTACTCAATTGATCGTATGTGATGTCGGCCTGTTGAGACTTGTCAAAGAAATGTAGTCGTAGGGCCTCTGGGATGGCACGATAAAACAACTGGACCAACTGGGGCTCAGTGACCCCATGGTCCGGGACGGCTACCAAGTCGTCCATGGTACCCTTGAGTGCCTTGGCACTCCTCCACTGCCGTGAGTGGATCATTTGAAGCTTGTCAGAGGCTCTTATGCCTCTCGTTGGGTCAGCGAAACGCTCCTTGAGGAGCTTGAGGAATTGGGAAAGAGGAGTGACTTTGGAATATGCAACCAGGTTGTTTTCACAACCGGCTGTATGAGCAAGAGACCTGGCGAAGCTAGCCGCTTCGTCCTTCAGGGCCTGGAAGGCCACGAGGACTTGCTCCTCCATCAGGATATGCTGTAAATAAATGTAACTATTGACACTGGCCTCCCAGTTGTCAAAGTTCTCGTCCTTCTTCSCCCCGTACGCGTCTGGGAACTTAAGTTTCACTGGGTCCTTACGGGGTCTGGCCTCTCCTTCTACAACAGCTGCAGCTTTGGCACCCTGAATGGCGCCCTCACAAAACTTCCCTACGTTGTCTCTCAATTGCTTGACTTCGCCCCCAATATGGGTGACGGTTTCGCGCGCAAAATCCCTGAAACCGGACCGCATGGCACTCAACGCTACATCCTGGCTCCAGCTTGCCTGGCGCTCCTCCATCCAGGCCTTGCTCAACACCTCTAGATAGCCCAATACTTTGTCCCACTTGGCCTTATCATCTGGCTGGGCCAGCACCTCTGCTCTACACTCCTGCACCTTTGCCACTGCGGCGGTCATCTTATTCACTTCCTCTCTCCTCCTCTTCTTCTCCCTCTTCATTCTCAACTTCCATGCTAACTTTTGCTCGTCTTCCCTCTCTCTTCGTTCCATTGGGTCTGTCATGGCCGCTAGCTCAGCGGCCAGCGCAGCCTTCTCATCCTTAGTCACATAGGACTCCGCCTCCTCGTCTTTCCCCAACGATAAATTAGCGACCCACTCGCTGATCTTCTTCTCCAGCTCAGTATCTGTCTCCCACTTCATTGTGCCACCACTACTTCCTTCCCCACTCTCAATTCTCATCCTCTCTTTCTCTTCTTCTGCTGCCGCTTCTGCTTCAGCAGCCTTCCTTCTTTCTTCCTCYTCCTGTTGTACCCTCTTCATCTCCTCCTCCAATCTCTTCATCTTCGCCGCCTGCTCGTCTGCGATAGCTTTTAGCTTGGCTTGCTTTTCACGCTCTTTCCTCTCCTTATTCTCTCTGACTAAGGCGGCCATCTTTTCTTGCTGCTCCGTGGTGTAGGGGCTAGTCTCCTTCCCACTACGGGTCTCAACCATGGTGATAAGTGTACAACCGGGTTAGTGGTTCCAAACCTCACCACGTAGACGTCAACCCGTGACTGACAGACCTACTGACTCAATCTAAGACTCACAGAATCCTGACAGGGATCCTGTCAACTATGGTCTCTAGCCTAGACCTACACTATGGCTGTCACTACTGAACCAGTGGCTGATCAGGAGGCATTTAAGGAGATCCCCGGTAACTCCTCAAGAATTTTTTAGCGTCGCAGACAGGACGACGTGATCAGCTTGGTTCTGCCTGTGCTTTCAGCCCACAACTCAGCCTTTCCGGCCTACTGTGCCACACCGAGCAGCCCGCCGGTCTGTACCGGTCCTTCAGCCTTTCCGACCTACGACAGGCCTACCAACTGCCTACGAATACACAGGTCACAGGTTCAATTCCCGGGGTCTACACAGATACTGTACATGGGTAGGGTGAGGT